GTGGCAGAGCACCGTGGTGCGGAAGCAGGGAGAGGGTGAGTCTGCAGAGCCCGCAGGGCTTGGGCCTCTACCTCGAGGGCAGTGGAAGGACCGCAAAGTCTGAAGAGGAAAGAGGGGCACAGTCAGGTTTAGGTGATGGAGGATCCTGCTGGGGGTCAACGTGCATGACAGACTGGGGAAAGGTGGGGGGATGCAGGACCAACAATAAGAAAGAGGTCCCTGCAGCTACCAGCGCAAGAGCAGCCGACCACCGAGAGCAGGAGGGGCACGGGGGTGAGGAGTGGCCAGGTTGGGAGATCCTCACAGCTTGGGAGGAGGCAGGGAAGGTGGTGCTGGTGCCGGTGCTGCCCCAGGCATGAGCCCTGGAGGAGGAAGCATGGCGCTGGGAGATGCTGACTGTGCCACCATGCAGAGCTTCAGGCTTCTTTCCCACGCCCAAGAGGAGGGGCAGCATGGAGGTACTCTCCGGAGCGTGGGAAGGGCAGCATCCTCGAGGACGAGAAAGCTGGGAAGGTTCTGGAAGAATGGAGCGCCCTCAGATCGCTGCTGTGGTCAGTGGATGGGGAAGGTTGCTGGCTTCAGGAAGTGCCAGGCAGAGGGGAGGAGAGGGAGGGCAGACGGCCAGGAGTTGCTGAGTTTGGCAGATGGAATTTTGTGGCTGACAGGAGGAGGCAATGAGCGGGGAGTCAGGGTGAGAAGTTTATAGGAAAGCCTAGTTCAAGTTTTGATACAGGTTCTGAGATTCTTTAACTCACGGCCTTGGGGACCCACTCAGTTAAAGCTGTTTGCATTCTCTGGATAAAGTCTCACCGTGAAGCTTTATATGCTCTCCTCATCTGAACTCCAAAACAGCCCGTAAGTTAAATTGAGAGTGTCTGACTCCGTAAGGGAGAACTGCACTGGGCTTGTCTTGAATCTCCTTCCTTCTTTGGGGACCTCTGCCGGGCCCCCACATCGCAGGGGCCCAGTAAGTACGTGCTGATGCCCCAGGCAGGGGTGCCTACAGACAGGCCAGAGCTGGGCCGCAACCTGGGGCTCAGAGACCACTGCTCACCATTCTTGTCACAGACATCCCCCACAACTACCAACTCTGCAGTCAGGGATTTTAGATTTGGAAATGTGTGGTTTTTCTTCTTGTTGTTGAGCATACAAGCCAATGTGACTATTTTTACTCATTGGCTATACGCCCCCATACCTAAAATCTCAGATGACAATGAATCCGTCACCCTGCACATGGTCTCTTGACACAAATGAAGGAGATGAGTGGCGACACAACAGTGAACTTGTCATATTCAGGAAAAACCCCTAGAAGCTGTACTTTCTGAACAAAAAGTTCGAACATATCATCTGAGATGTGGTCTGAGAGTAGAACAGAATAAACAAAACCTGCAGACGCCGCAACTACAGAATCCATCCACAAGCCTGTGAAGATTTCTTTTCTCCACCAAAGAAGGGAAAACAGGCCATGGGACTGGCCCGCCCCCTCCCCGCGTCCTCGTCTGCCTTCCCTGCAACCACCCTGGGCCCCATGGCCCTGGTGCAGCTCTGAGGGGCTCCGCGGGCAGCCAGGGGTCTCTGCACAGGCGGGGGGAGGACGACTGGACTGCCCCCCGTGGCTCAGCTATGACCCTTCCCCTCCCACCACACTGACCTCAGGGGGGACAGCATGTCACCCCTGAGCATATGGGTTTTCACAACTTCAAGTTTGTGATGGGAAAAGCAATCTCCTCCTGTGACAGCTCTAAAAGGAACCTGATTCTCAATTTAGAGAAATGATTTAGAAAGACGTGTCTGACAGGAAGGGGAGCAGGTCGTCTGCCCACGCATGAGGCCTCCTCTGGCTCATGCCCGAACATCTGGGAGCTGGCACACACTCAGAGGACTGACCGCTGAACCTTCTTCCAGACCTGGATTCCCAAGACCCTTGTGGCTCGCCGGGGAAGAGACGGTAGAACCATGCCTGCTGTCTCGGTGGCGTCTCCTTAACAGGCATCAGGCTGAGTCCCCGTCAGGGCTGAGCCGCTGGGAGTGGCAGCCACACCGAGCTGCCCGTGACGCAGGAAACACGTCAGTCAGTAGAAAATCATCTGTGATATTGCTGGTGGGCATGTCCCAGGCAAGAGTTTTATGGGAAGAAAACACTGGAGAAAACTTAGGACCAACCTGTCCGTTTCAGAACACTGATGGGCGTCAGAGGCCCACGACACTTCCGGCACTTTCCTCTGCCACCCTGGCCCCAGGTCTCCGTGCTCCAGCCCTGCAACCCTCTCCCTCCGCTCATGTTCCGTTATTCCATGGCTCTCTGTTCACGGCTCCTGGCTGTCGTCATCTAGCACAACGGACCTGCTCTGCCCCAGGGCTGCTCTCCGCGAATCAACCACTCTTCCCAGCAGCCCCCCGCCCCCGACAGCCGGCCCCGTGGCCCATCTTCACCCCTCCAGGCTGAAGAGCAAATGGGGACCGAAGCTTTGCCAGAGCAGCAGGCTTCCGTGCAGGACGGCGGGCGGGGCTCTCGATGGTCCATGCACAAGCTGCCCGCGGCCCGTGAGGACAGTGGCGTCACTGTCTCCCGCCCAGAGCTCAGCCTCCACAGGAGCCCGCCTCTCCAAAGCCAGTCTGGTCACTCAGATGTCCTTCCACAGGACTACACCCCAAACACGAGGGTGTCTAGAAGAGAGGCGCACCCGGAGAGCCACGTGCTCTTACGCGTTTCTCGATCAGACGTACAATGCAGGTTCTCCTTTGCTGAGACAAACGTCTCCCTTGGCTGCAAATTCACCTTCCGTATGCTAGCTCTTCTGAACTCGAAACACCTCTAAAATCACTCTTGGAGGAAAGGGACGGCCGTCCTGACCTTCAGCCATTCTTGGAGGGTCCATCCAGCACACACGCACAACACAGATACACACAGATGAATACAGACACCGCACACACGTGCACACGCACACAACACCCAGATGAATACAGACAGCACACACGTGCACATGCGCACAACACACAGATGAATACAGACAATACATACGTGCACACACACAGATACACAGATGAATACAGACACCGCACACATGCACACAACACACAGATGAATACAGACAACACACAAGGGGCACACGCACGCAACACACAGATGAATACAGACAACACACACGTGCACACGTGCACACCACAGATGAATACAGACAACACACATGTGCACACGCACACAACACACAGATGAATACAGACACCGCACACACATGCACACGTGCACAACACACAGATGAATACAGGCAGCACACACGTGCACACGCGCACAACACACAGATGAATACAGACAATACACACGCGCACACACACACAGATACACAGATGAATACAGACACCGCACACACGCTCACAACACACAGATGAATACAGACAACACACACGTGCACACGCAGACAACACACAGATGAATACAGACACTGCACACACGTGCACACATGCACAACACACAGATGAATACAGACAACACACACGCGCACATGCACACAGATACACAGATGAATACAGACAGCATACACACACAACACAGATACACACGGATGAATAGACAACACACACATGCACACAACACATACACACCACACACAACACAGCAATGTTTCCCAAGGGAGGGAAAAATCCACAAAAGGGCTTTGGACAATCGAGAATAAGGAATGGTTGTCAGAACGGTTTGCTCCACAAGGGAACTGAGGAGGTGTCTTGCCTTTGCTTCAAGGGCATGAGCTGAGCCCTCAGCAGGGCGTACTGTTCAAGTACCATTTGTGCGTCCCTGTAAGGCGCGATTCTAAAGACACACACCCCCTGGGAGTTCCCATTCTAAGAAAAGGAGCCTCACAACAGACATGAAACATGGAGCTCACCATCCAGGCAAAGAGGTCAGAAATGGGAGGACACGTCTCAATAAAAAGTACTTGAAAAAATGGAGTTGGTATTTTGGTGTGGGCTTGAAGTGTCAGCTGCTGAGGACTTCTCTAAAAACACCATCGACAGCTCAACAGTCTTACGTCTAAAGCCGGCTTTGATAGCGGTCTGAGCTCACAATTAAATATTTTCCGCCCCATCGTGGTGCTATATAGCTGTGCCTGATACTATTTGCCGCGTAACGACTACACCGCATGCCGAGGGAGTGAATCTGCGGGAGGCGCGAGCGCAGAAAGACAGTGTGCGGACGCAGCACAAGGAATGGAGCGGCCTTTCCCACCCTGCACGTCATCCCTGGAACGTGGGCAACTTCCGAGCCACTGATGAAGAACTGCCTGGACAATGAACACTATAATGCAACGGCAGAAGCCTACACAGGCATGTCTGCGCACATCTGCCCACACACACGCACACGCACATGCATGTGCACAGCCAGATACGCTTTCCCCTTTGAAACACTGCTTCCATTCCTTGAGGGAAACGTGACATTTTTACAGAGCGTGGTGTCAAAAGCCAGAGTCATTAGGGTGATGACCTGAAAATGGGGCTGACCACGTGTCCCCTGCTGGGTACACACTGTGGGAATGAGGCCCCTCGATACGTGCAGATCAGAGAGAAGAGAAGAAGGAGCATCCTGTTACTATGCGCACGTCTCCCCTCTGAAGGAGGACTCAGTCCCGATACCTGGACTGCTTTGCTGTGAGGCAGACAAAACCGCTGGAGCCCCAGGAGGCAGGGAGGCAGCACAGACGCAGAGCCCAGTCCCCCACGCCCCGGGGGCCTCTGCGTCCACGCACCCCGCGGTCTGGGCCGGAGGTGCAAGGCTGGGACCAAGAGCCAGGAGGGGTTTGTTCTGTGGAGAAGCCCCCTGGAGCTCGGGCTCCTAGGTCACAGCACTGGGTGACAGACGGGCTGGCTCCCAGCTGCCCTCCTGCCCCCACAACACCAGGAACACCTCCGCCTGTGTCTCCGGGTTAAGACGGGCAAAGAATGAAAGTGGCCCCCCCCACCCACCCGACAGGCACCAGCAGAGAACAACCAGAGGCTCTACTTACTCATCTCCAGTCACAACGTAGCCTTGCTCCTCTTCGGAAGGCCTGACCTCCAGCCGCAGGCCTTCACCGGGGCGCCCCTGGGCTCCGGCTCCAAGGCGGGCATCTTCCTGCGAGGGGCCCGGAACCCAGGTCTGGAACTTGCCAAAGCCGCCCGCCCTGGGCTCTGTGGGAGGCAGCCTCTCCAGGCGCTCCTTGGAGTAGGTCTGACTCCTCACGTCTTCCACCCCAGCGCTCTCCTCCTCCCACGCCGGGGGCACCCTGGGCGTCTCTGATTTCTTCATCTCCGTTTTGAAGGGCTCCATAAGAAGAGGGGTGGCAGGAAAGAGTCGGGACCCAGGATCCTGCAGGTGGTCCCCGAGTTGGAGGCTCAAACGACTGACCTGGCAGAAAAGAGGCTCAGTGAGGTGACGTTCAGGAGCAGTTGGTGGGCAGCCCCCGGCAGGGGGTGGAGTGGTGCTGTCATGGCCACATTCAGCGTCCCATCTGGATGGGACACGTTCAGCCGAGGGGAGGACGAGGGCCTCACACATCAGCATCAGCATCACTCAGCCAAGCACGTCTCTGTCTCTGTCTCATACATATACAACTTCCTGAAGAATCTGATTTTATAAACTCAGTGTAGGTGTTTCCCAACCATATTTTTAAAAAAAGCCCATGTGGGGGGGTGTCTGGGGGGCTCAGTCGGTTGAGTGCCCGACTCTTGATTTTGGCTCAGGCCACGATCTCAGGGTCGTGAGATCGAGCCCTGCCGCGGGCTCTGCCCTCAGTGGGGAGTCTGCTTGAGATTCTCTCCCTCCCCCTCTACCCCGCCCCCCTCCTTGCGCGTGCACTCTCTCTCAAATAAATAAATAAAATCTTTAAAAACAAACAAACAAAACAAAAACAAAAGCAAAAACAGCCTATGTGGATTCTGAGACCCCTCCAGAAACAACGAGTGCCTGACGATGACCGTCCTACTTGCATTTCCTGAGCTCTGACAGGGCCCGAGGGCGCTCTGCAGCAGACGCCCGACCGGCACGGACTCGGCGCCCTCACGACGCCCTGTGAGTCAGGAGCTCTCACCCTGCCCCCAGTCCCTCAGGGACGTGGAGAGGCCAGGAGTGGGCAGAGTCATGGGGACACGCACCTGCAGCCTCACAGCACCGAGGGGCTCTGGGGTCTTCACAGCCAAGGCTTGCCCATCCTGACCCCGTTTCCTGGACAAGAGGGCCCTCAGAGCTACTTAACTGACATCTCGACAGATGAACATTATCCTACACACTCAGCACTGATTATCTGCCAGGCACTGTGCTCAGTGCTCTGCGCGCGCTCTCACTTAATTGCCACCTCAACCCGGGAGTGCAGTCCCAGTTTTATCTCTAGTCTGTAGGCTCTGGGGCTTACAGAGGTTAATAACGTGCCTGAGATCACTGATGGCAGATCCAGAATTCAAGTGCTGTTCCCGCTGATGCCAGAGAGGCTGCCACACCGCCTCTGGAGACCCCAGCTTTGCCTCCAAGGGAAGCCACTGGTCCCTCCCGCTGCTTGCTGCTGGTGCCCAAGAAGGGGGGGCGCGCCCAGGGCACCTCCTGACGCGCAAGAGCAAGGGATTTCCCGTTTCACCATGAAATTACATCTCCCATATTAGACTAGATGGCAAGACAAAAAGTGGATTTACTTCACGTGTATCACACACAAGATTTATAGGAAACTAAGGAAGGACTATAAAGGAAAGTAATTATTCCCTTGTTGACTAGAAATTGTACATAATTTTTCCTTGTGTGTTTTGAAATATTTAAAGAAAATGGTATTTTGATAAAAACATTTGCTCAAATTTGGATCCCGAATGGTGACAGTGCATAGCATTTCAGTTACCACGTACAGATGGAGCCCTGTCCTCAGGCTTTTAAAAGAAAGAGAATGGTGTTTTCACTTGAATTGTGCTCCATGAGAGGAGAAAACAAAAGATGTTAACAATTAAGAGCTCAGAAAATACAACACTCAGATGCCTTTTGGAAAAAATTGCTTGAGGGGCGCCTGGGTGGCTCAGTCGTTAAGCGTCTGCCTTCGGCTCAGGTCATGATCCCAGGGTCCTGGGATCGAGTCCCACGTTGGGCTCCCTGCTCAGGGGGAGGCCTGCTTCTCCCTCTCCCTCTCCCTCTGTGCTCTCTGTCTCTCTCTCAAATAAATAAATAAAATCTTAAAAAAAGAAAAAAAAAAGAAAAAATTGTTTGAAAATGTACCCCAAGTAACAGAGAAATGAATCAAAATTCAACTTGTTTGGGATGGAAAGGTGGGAGTATGAGAGCCCTGGGGGTCTTCGGCGAACCCACGTGGGTTGGAGTGTGTGCCTCCTGGAGGCCCCACAGCCCTGGCTCTGGCTGTTGGCATCCCTCCACTTTCTAAGACGTGTTCTTAGGGCCACGTCTCCCTCCTCAGCTGAGACAGAGTACCCCCCAATTTCTGATGGACAATTAAGAGAATTGTTGATGTTTTCTTTTGCTACTTGCTAATAGGCATTGAACCAAAAACCACTAAGATAATCTGGAAAGAGAAGTACTAACCAAAAAAACTTTTTTCCACTCCACAAAAAAAGGGTTTTGTAGAACCACATAATGCCACTGTCATTGCTTACGCACTGATTTTCTGCACCCTTAAGACCTGTACTAATGAGCAAAGGTTCTTAAACAGGAAAAGCCAACAAACCAGTCCGTGAGGGGTGTTACCTGTGACCGAGCCCTTTTTCACACTGCCTTCCCGACCAGCGCTGTCCAACAGACCCTCCAGCAATGATGGAGATGTTCTCCAATGTACCACCCAACCCACGTATTACAAAGGAACACTTGAAATGTGGCTAGTGCAACTGAGGAACTGAATTTTTATCTACTTAATTTTAATGAATATAAATTTAAATAGCCACATGTCGCTAGTGGCTACATTAGACAGTGCAGGTCTGAATGACCCAGGGCCTGTGAAGGTCCATGCTAAATGAAACTCGGGAATCACACACAGGATGATCTCAAGGACATATACCAGTCCATATCCCCAGGTAGGAAAATTCTAAGGAATATTAATTTTTTAATTTGCATTAACTATATTTTCCATATTTCTACAATGGGTAAATATTACTATATAATCTGAAAGTAGACATTAGTATATATCTAAATATACACCATTTTTTATGCTCTCTTTATACTTTTTCCCAATTTGGGGATTACTAGGGTTTTTCCAAACTTTTCTGAAAAAACAAGCCAACAAACCTTTATATTTTGTCTGTTCCCAAACCATGAACAGAAAGATGACCGGTACAGCTCTAGATCTAAGGGGAACCAAACCTGCAGAGACGCCTCTCCGTACCTCCTTGTAAACGCCACCTTCACCGTCTGGCCCTCGGTCATCTGTGAAAGACACAAGCATTATCAGAACCCTTGTTGAGACCCTCATCATAGGCGCTGCAGCACCCAAAACACCAGAGAGTCCTTGACAGAAGGTCAGGCAGTCAGGATGATGTCCGCCTAGTTTCTTCTAAAAAGTAAACCTTCTTGTTTATAGTACATTATTAGTGTTCTGTAAACGTCATGGAAGAGGAAGGGTGTCCCCACTAAAGACAAATGTGAGTTCAGTCATGAACGGCATCACCAGCCCCAGGGATCCGTGTGCTGTGCTTAGAGTTAGCTCACAGCAAGATAAACCCACGGTGCCGACAGCAGTTACTAGCAACAGAAAAACAAAGGCAGGCGTCTCCACCAAACCACCTCAAGGTCAGATGTCCTCAGAGTTCACTACCTTTCTAATTATCCTAGTGGCAGCACCCGACAGTGCAGAACTCCTGTACTCATGCAGCCCAAATGCCCAGGCACCTTCTAGACCCCCCTCACCCTCAGGGAGGCACCCATCTTTTCATTCACTGATGGCCCAACACAAAACCTTGTCCTGCTGGGCTGTGGCACCCTCTTCTACATCCCGCCGTGCTTCCGGCTTCCAAGCAAGCCTCGGTCCCAGCCCATGCATCTTCTCACTTGTGTTTTGGGCACATATTTTTTGTGTGCCTACTGCGTGCAAGGCACTGAATTAGATGCTTTCATGCAGTTGCAGCGACTCTGAGAAGCAATCAGGCACAGATAAGGCCATTCATCAGGGAAGCTGCTGTGTGTGTGTGTGTGTGTGCACATGCGTGCACATGCGTGCACACACACACACTGGGGGGGTAGGGGAGAATCTCTGCTCTCTCCTTGGAGCAGCCTCAGAGGGTGCATGTGAGCCTCGAGCAGATATTCGAATGAAGCCTTTTCACGGTATTATTCAAATATTTGACTCTATTCACTAGCACAATCCAAACAAAAACACTTTCTATCATGCCTGTTTTTTTCTAACTCCGAACCTCAGCACAAACAGCAATTTGCCTTTCAACATAATTGCTCTGGTAGGCTTAGCCTGTGAAGAAAGCCTTTTAGAGGCAAAAGTTCAAACAGACAAAAACTGTTCCTACAAATCCGCGTCTCCTCGGCAGAAGGGATGTTTAACAGCCTGCTGAGCCAGGCCTCTGCACAGCTGCAGCCTCAGCGCGCCCCACGAGCCCCACACATGTATGTGACCCCGGGACTGGGAGGCTCACCTGCCATGCCGTCTCCGCCCTGCTTGCCAGCGTTGGCCTCTCTGGGCTTTCCTGCGGCTCCTTGAAGCTCCCCTTCTGCACCCACACCCTGCATGGCGGTAGCAATCACGTGGGCCATCTTGCCGAGGCCCAGGGGGCTCAGACCCTCCACAGGCTGCTTTCCCAGGTCCTTCAGGAGACTCCGGATAAGTGCTTCTGGGGGGCACACACAAAGGCAAGCACAGAGGACACCAAGGAGGAGCAGTCAGCCCTGGAACGAGGAGGTAAACGAGCGATCCCAAACAGGGGCACCGTGGGCACCCAGAAGCTCAGAGAGAAATGGGATTTAACGAGGAGCAGCAGAAGTTCGGTAAATGAAGAGCACAACATTTGTAATTTAAAAACTCACAGAATGGGCCTGGCAGCAGATTGGGCAATGGAGAGCAATGGGTTAGTGAATTTCAAGACAGATAACAGAAACTATTATTATCTTAAGAACAGGTAAAAAGGGGGCTCCTGGGAGGCTCAGTTGGTGAAGCGTCTGCCTTCAGCTCAGGTCATGATCTCAGGGTCCTGGGATCGAGCCCCGCGTCAGGCTCTCTGCTCCTCGGGGAGTCTGCTTCTCCCTCTGCTCCTACCCCCACTTTTGCTTTCTCTCTCTCTCTCTCAAATAAATAAATGAAATCTTTATAAAAAAATTTAAAAAAGATTTGAGAAAGACTGAGCGGAAACTTGGTAACCTGCAGAACCACCCCAGGCACAACAGACTCCAAGCGGAGAGCAAGAAGGAAAAGGAAGAGAGAATGGGACCAAAAACTAAAGGGAAAAAAAAAAAATCTCCTGCAATTCCCCAAAATTGCATTAACTTTGAAAAGTCAAGGCACCAAACCCCCAGAAGAACAAGCACAAAGAGAACCATGCAGCGGCATCTCTTAGGAAGGTGAAGGTAAAGCAGACCCCTAACCGCAGCCAGAGGCTAAGACATGCATGAGGTGTGACGGGACACAGGCAGTGGGCTGACCTCAAGCAGAAGAGGGGACGGACTCACCGCGTGTCTTCTGAGAATGTTTGACAGGATTTGTAATCATCGATTTGATAACACACATAAGAATGACATATGTGAAGTGTTAAAAGAAAAAACATTTAAGTCTACGTCCAGTGAAAACATCCTTCAAGCCTGAAGGTGAGGGAAAGACATCATATTACAAGAGGGGCCAAGCTGATCGGCAGCCAGTGGACCTGCACGACAAGACACACCAGGAGGGTGACCCCAGCTGGAAACACGGGCCTGTAGGAAGTGCTGAAAAGCTCCCAGAGGGTGACTATGTGGTGCACCCGGACAACAGTCTCTCTCCTCTCAGTGCCACTAAAGGGCAGCTGATTGGTCAACGGGAAGAAGTAACCACATTTAATGCATGTCGAGGTAAACTGCACGGCACGGGAGGGTCACCGGCATGGGCTGCTGTAAGGTTTATCTGCACTTTACGTGAGGTGTGTGCGGATCACTCCAAGCAGACTTAGTGCTGGGACCCTGCCTGGGGTGATGGGGATGTGTAATGGCGTGTCAGTTACGTGTACACACACGTCCACACTCACTTGTACACTCGGCGTCCATGCATCTCATGACAAATAAATCTCTCTCAGTAACAGGAATGTTTGATGGAGTCTTGTTTCTGATGTGGAGGGTGCCCCGACTTCTTTATCTTGGGTATCGAAGGCTGACGTGTCTGGTTCCTAAGTGGAGGTTTATGCAAGATGGGTGCACCCTCGTGACTGCTCCCTGAGACCCTGGACCAGCGAGAGTTCCCACTCTTTCCACAGCCTCACTCAGGCAAGCCTCTGAACTGAGTGGGGTGGGGATTATTTTCTGCTTCTTGCAAATTAAGAAATTTGGGCTTTTCAGATTTTTTAATGTTTCCATCTTTGGAGCTCTTGCTCACCAACAGGCATGAGAAGCTCTCAACACTCATGATTCAGCAGGCCCGGCAGGCAGGGGCTCTGCCCTACGCACGTGCAGAAAGCGCGGGTCAAAGCCGCTCCTGCTGTCAGCCAGGATCCAGCAGGGGAAGGCCCAGACTCTCCGAAACAGCTTCACCAAACTTAACACTCGTCTGAGGTAATAACATCTGTACCACATGGCCGCGGCTGGAAAGCTACGTGCAGAAGCCCCCGGAACACTGCGCACAGCACCCCCACCACCGGGCTCCACCTCTGAGTCTTGCTGACAGAGCAGGACGGCCTCACCTGGTCAAAGCGAGCTTTGTTCATAATAAAAGCCTGACAGGAGAGTTCGGAGCTATCCAGACTTACGGACTTTTCAAAGAAGCAGGTCAAGCCTACTGTGAATTCCTCGAGTGGAAGAAAACGCACAGTCACGCTCACCTGTCCACCAAAGCGCGCTCTTTCAGGGGAGTCTTGCTCCACTGTCCTAAGGAAACTTTCCTTTCTGAACATTGCGTGCCACGCCCCATGTTCTCCCACAGTCTCTTCCTTGCCAGGGAAGAGTCGCTGCCGTAATTCTGATTTTGCTACATGAAGACACTTTCTGTCAATCTTTACTCAAGACTTCCTGTTGACGACTGAGGTCCCTTCTGGATCGACAACCCTTGGAGTCGCCATGGTACTTGTTCTGGAAACACAGCTGGAGGTGGATTTGGCACGATCGTCAGATGGGGTCCTTGAAAGTGGGGGGGACACAGAGCGTGTGGCATACGCCATTGACCCTCGTGGTCAGGACTGGACTGTAACTACTCCGGCAGCAGCGGCAAAGCCCCGGTGAGGCCGACACTGAAGCCTTACGGCACCAACACAGGGCGGTGACGTCCCTGCACCACCCCAGCCTCGGCTTCTCTATCAACCACCTGTTCCTCATGCTCTGACGTGTGGCCGCACTGACCCTGGGGACACTGAGCTTCCCAGGAGTACCCACATCCTAGACACAGCAAACACTGCTTTTCACGTGCCAGCCAACCAATCCAGAGCCCACCGCTTGTCACGGCTTCTACCGGGCCCCCACCCAGCAGGCCACCATCCACCAGCCCTAATCGTCCCAGGGCCTTGCCCCAGAGCCGCTGAAATTATGCCTGCTCACTAGCCCCTCGCCCGCTGGGCCCACCTCACCTGCTTCTTCCTGAATGGTCCCCTCCGTCCGCCTCACCACCAACCTGGTGCTTCCCTGGGGGGGCCCTGGGCATGGTCTCCTCTTGGGAACTGTCTTCAGCAGTCTGGCCAAACCTGCCTAATAACAAAGCCTGCATCTTGAAACCACTTGCTGCCAAAGGGAATGCAGACCGAAGCCTGTTTCCCCTCCATCCCCAGAGCCTCTCACAGTCCCAGATGTTCAGCGACTGAACGCTTAACTTCAAGAACAACTTCCAGCACTAATTTCACTTCCTTATAAACAAAACATACCTAAAAATACAGAAAAGCTTGCCCGATGCAGAAGTGACAGGAGGCTGAAGACTTGAGCAATCCCACACAAACAGCAGCTGACGCTGGGATGACAGAAGGTACAGACTGTTTCACGGGAAAGATAAAGATGCATCCGGGATTACAGGTGCATACCTGTCACAGCCATTGGGCTGTTTTGAAGAAATGTACTGTTCACTGCAGCTTTCAGAGTCAGAAGGAACTGTCCCAGAACCGTACCTGAGTCAGTGAGCAGCAAGCTGAGTACAACGTTTCGTTTTTGATTTTCCCACCAAACACCTTTCTCTTCTGATGCTTATCTCAGAAGGTCTTGCGTCACCAGCCACTCCCACGGACCCCACACTGACCACAAAGCTCTCGTTCCTCTCAGGAAACAGACGGCACTGGGGACTTCCGATTTGGAGTGCCTGCCGCGCCCCGGGAAAGAAGACGTGCAGGAAACCCACCAGAGGCACGCCAAGCCTTCCTCCGCTTGACAGGGCGGGGCCCCCCTGCCCTCAGACCAATACCGACGCGGAGCATCTGCTCTGAAAAGTCCCTTTCAGAAAGAAGAAAGTCCACAGTGACCCGCGCTTGCCAAGTCCACTCCAGCAAGCCTTCTCTTTCATCACAGTGACAAAGAGAAACAGTCCCAACAGAAATTGAGTCACAAAACACCCCACCCACTCACCACAGGCAGACCTGACCATCCGTGCGACACGAGAACAGAGGGACTCGGGGAACATGGTGTTGTGGGACCCCGGGGGCACAGCGACTGGCCCAAAAGGGAGGAAATGGTGAGCAGAGACCTCACCCACTGAGGCAGGCGGGAGGACGGTGCCAGGCCACGTCTGCTCTCTGTGTGGACCCGTTAGCATCGGCACGGCCTGGCATCAGCCATGAACCCCACTGCTGTAGGCAGTGGCTTCTTGTCCACTTTCTCAAGCCAGAGAATGCTAGGATCTACAGGAGCTTTCTCCTTTATTGGCTATAGTTGTGGCTGAGACTTTGGTTTCTAAGGACACATTTAAGATTCTCATCAGTCGCTGTGTCAGTCGAGCTGGCAAGCTGAATTCGCATGAAGAAAAGTTGACTTCTTTCCAGGGAGGCATGCCCTGCTGCCACTTAGGAGAAAGAGCACCACGTTGCATCCCAAATGTTGCTTCAGGAAGCCGCGGGCTGAAGGGGCTGCAAGCACACGCCCGGGGCCCACACAGTTATGGACTCATCTCCCCACCAGGACTCCCGGTGTGTGGTCTTGGGCAAGCCCCTGAATCTCACTGGTGCTCAATTCCCTTATGTGTCATGGGAACAAGTGAGACAGGCATGTGAATCACTTATTCAGTGGCAGGCATACCGTGAGTGCTCAATAACTGCAACTACTATCACGATGATGAGGTGATGGTCAGGAATCATTTACCCTCCATCGTTTTTCATCCCTTACAGTCTACCGTAAATACACAGGCTCGGATTTCCATGGTGAGTTCTGGCTATAGTTCAGCATAATCCGTAAGCAAAGAGCAGAGAACATGCCACCTGTCCATCAGGATGCTTAGTTGTGCCAGTTGACTACTGCCTCCCAGTCTGTTCAACATTCAATTTAAGATTATGCTTTCTGAGATGGTTCTTGGCCAAAGTATTAAGCCTCATTTTAAAGAAATGTTAACCTCAGTTATTAAAGTCAGGCCTCAGGCTCCATCCACCTACCCATACATCCACCTGCCCACCCACCCACCCACCCATCTACCCATCCATCCATCCATCCATCTATCCACCCACCCACCCATCCATAATCCATCCATCCATCC